GTACATGTATGCGATATTTACATGTACCAAAGCCTGCATTCATGCAGTGAAGTACTAGTACTGTACATGCCATTTAATGATTTTTAGGTTAAAAGATGGTGCTTCAAATTACATTGATACAGTTTCTTCATTATGAGTTTGATCTTTTCAAGCAGAAAGCACAATCATAATACAGGGCTAAAAAAACAATAAGCAAGCCAGAATGGCCTGCACTGTCAATCATTCATCCTGTTCTGTACACAGTGTTCCACTTGATCTTCCTTCATCTATGAGTTGAAACAGATTGGATATTAAAAATAAACCAATAGATGGTGCTTTATATGTACAAGTGTGTGCTGTTTGGTGCTGAGCAGGATCTCAAGATTATTTTCTGGGATGGATGGAGAGGTGAGAATGTGTGTTACCGATGTACATGTACGTGTACATGTACATGTATATGTACATGTATATGTACAAATACAATACATGTATGTATTGGACATGGGCAGGATAAGTCTGCTTGTGCTGTTTTCACGAGGATAGTTGATACATGTAGCTGTAGCTGGGCCAGCTTATCGAGGCATCTCAGGTCTGATTAATTTCAGCCAGTGTTTCAAACACTGCATCAGCCATGGACAAAAATGAAGCGCACACTGTGTCTTGCTGTGGAGTACATGTACATGTTCTGTATATGTACCAGTAGCACAGGCCCAGGACAACATAAGCACAGTGCAATGCATCCCTTTAGACCAGATTTATCTGAAATTTAAAGCGTTAATGAGGCACTTTCAGGAGATTCCTGCAAAGGATTTTGCAGGAAAGCACGTACATGTTTGTGAACAGTGTACATGTGTTAAGATTATCTTTGCCTCATTGTTTTCGTGACTTGATTCGCTGACTTGGACTCAAATCAAACTTGAACCGCTGGCTTTTTGACTTTAGGCTTGACTTGGAAAAAGTGACTTGTGACTCAACTTGGAAAAATAACTTAGAACAGTTTGACTTGTTGACATTGTCAACTTTGGTTAAACACCACATTTGTGCAAAAAATCCTGTCTTTCTTCCTGTGTGTACTAGTACTTGACTTGTGTGCAAACAGCAAACCTGTCCGGGAAGTAACTGCATTTTTCCATGGTAAAATGAGGTTGACAAGTCAGACCCATTTTGCAAATCATCCCTGTTTCATCATCAGTCAAGGATGTTAGAAAAAGTACACAAGTATGAGTTCGAACATCACAAAGGCTCCAAAAAATGGCCTGGGATTTAGAACTTGCTTTGAAAAATTGACTTTTGCCTTGACTTTTTCAGGACAAAGTGACTTCCAAGTTAGACAGAATACTCTATACCTTGACCAATTGTTCATGAAGACGTGTGATAACTGAAACTACATGTAAAACTGAAATTTTACTGCATAGAAATTCATGAATATTCATGAGTGCAGCATTAGTCTCCTGAGGGGTTCGCTGAGTGGAACGGAACATTCCCTATGTCAGTGGATGAAAGAGCTGTCCATTCCTCAATCCACAAGTGTGAAACATTCATTGTTTGATTTACCTGAATAAATCCCCAGTTGGACTTGCTGAGTAAATCCTTCCCTCCCCTGCCAGTGCAGAAATTGCTTGTGACCACAAATTTGCCAGTGGAATGGAAGTGCAGTGAAATTCAAAGACACCAGATCAGCAATCCATTGATCAAATGACAGAGATCTACCATGTGTAAAGGCGCTATATTTATGACAAGTGCTACTGTTCAACAGAAATGTACATACATTTGAGAGATAATGCAGGTACATGTACAGTACCGTACCAAATCAGACTTTCCATCCCTTTGCTGCTAAATGTACACTGTGTACATGTACATTGTAAATGAACATGTTCCTGCAGATGATGCATCATGTACATGTATGTATGGATGAAATACAATTGCAGAACAATTTGGGGGAAAAATCACACTTGTGAAATAGTTTTTATACTGATTATCCGTGTAAAATGAATCTTCAAACGAAATACACTTTCGCATTTGAAATGATTGATACTTTCTTGTTGAACTGATTCTGACTACAAAGTGCCAGGGTTCTAATACAAAGATTTGTTTGAATTTGATACACCCTATGCAGTGATATTGATCTTTTAAGTGGTCATCCAAGCTTGCGTATACATGTTTGTAGAGTGACATCCAATACTCTAATGTGCTTTATCATACACTTAGCATCTTGTTCGTGTATACTGGTACCTCATGTGTGGGCCTGATAGAAATCACAGTTTTTCCTTTCCTCTTCCTCTTGTATTGCAGTTTGGTAAAAAAAAAACACAGCCCACTCTTTTTTGTTTGCCACAAACCAGCAATACAGATCACCAGATTGGCCTATCTGATCCAAGTGCAAGCCTCTGGCTGGCGCGCACTGATCCTGCCGGATTCGTTTAAGGCCGTTGTGTTCTGGGAGAAACTGCTGTGAATCTATCATCGGTAATCAGTGCGATCTCATCACAGTCACCGGGAACAGTTCGGACAGACCGTACATGGACAGCAGGTTGACACCTTTGCCAAATTCAACAATGGCAGCTGCTGATTCTGTCTTGTTTAGCAAGCCGGTGGAGGTCCCACTTCCAAGCCAATACCAGAGGTACATGTTACAACAATTTATGTCAAGGAGATTTCTTTATTAGAAGGGTGAGGGGAAGCTCTTTGTCATGCCTTGTCTTCATTTTTGAAAACGAAGCAAACGTATTTAAGCACAGTACCCAGGTACCTGTAGGATAGAAGGAAAGTAAAGAAACTACGTATGCTGTAGGTACTGATGTACAAGTACTGTACACGCAAGTGCTCCATCAATGAGAATGTTGAATCTGGTTGAAATTACAGTGTAAGTTTTAGAAAACGGGAACCCAGAACTGTACAGTGAAAAGCTTTTATCTGCTGCACACTTCTCACTGTGCCAGGTGCACTGTAAGTTTTCCTACTAGTTGAAATATTCGGGGTGTAAAACTCCCCTCAAATTTCTCACCTTGTGTGTTTCATCTGTGTGTTTCACTTCAGACTGGTGCATCTAGACTTGAAGGGAGCCCCGTTAAAAATGGATTTTCTCAGCAAGGTGAGTATCCTTACACATCTCACACATACGGAAAAATTCCAGTGTATTGACAGTTTTCCCCAACATAATGTGCCTTCCTTAGAGCCATGCTAGAGGTTCATTCCTCTGCCTTAGCCAGAGCCGATCTCCAAAATTTAAACATGTACGTGTATGCACGTAGTTGTATAAAGACTAGTCAATTTGTCATTCGTAGTGATGTTTTCTTTGGTGTTGTTTTCACATGGACAGTTCATTTTTTGCCATTTTGCATCCAGCCCCCCCGGTCAAATTTTATCAATACTCCATCATGCTTCACTGGCCAATGAGTGCTCTTAGTGATTGCGATTTCTGCACGGTTTGGTGCAATCATTGGTCTGTGATAGTCAGGTGACTGCTCCTATACAGGTACTGGTACATTGCCCCCAGCAAGAGCAACATGTACCAATGCATGTACATGTTGATGCATCATGTAGTAGCTGAACTGACATATATCAAGCAGAATTGTTCTATTTAATCATGAGAGATCACGCACATGTAATTATTGAAACGTGAGGCAAAACAGGTGCGTTGTGTCTGTTGGTCCCCGAACATTTTTCAATCCAAAGTTGTAAGGTGCCAGGAAGATAGAAAAGATCTGGCAGGAATGTACATGTAATGTTAGTGGAATGGGTGGATAAATTATTGGATAGTTGATGCAGCTTTTTCACCCACATACATGTAAGTTTGTCAAAATTAGTGAAAGACTAATAAAATCAAATATCAACCTGGGCAGCAACTGGGTCAACGTGGTTTTTCTGAGGCAGTGCGCACTGTACCGGTAGGTGATTTCTCATAACTTACTGTAACCCTGCTCCACTTTTGAGCTTTATATAACTTTGTGCTGAAGCTGTGCAATGCACTTTGGGAATTTCATTACAAGCTGTGTACATGTACGCACCAGTGTCAACATCTTACGTACACTGTACATGTACATGTATTTCAAACATTTTAACGATCTTACATGTGTACATGTACATGTACTTAGAGAGGACAGTCTTTGGTGACAGATTTTGCAGTGACTGTTTCTTATACAACTTTGCAAATCTACACGTACATCAAACTTGTGATTACACCCTCACTTTTTCTTCGTTGGAATGGGCAGCAAACTTCAAAGAAGATGAAGGTTTTCGTTGCATTTCAAAACAGTCATAAACTGCACTGAATTTTTAAATTGACAATGGTCGTGATCGTTTAGAGTATCGTTTATTTCTGATTTTCTCACCACAACGACATGTATGTAGTTACACCACCCAAAATAATTGTGTTGGTTTACAGTACTCCATAAGTTGTTGCACAGTTTATAGACTAATTATACCTTGATGAAACGTGCCTTGTGGAGGTTATACATGTACATGATGGCATGGCATTGTGGAGTTAAGCTATTCCACAAAGTTCTGTGATATCAGCTGCTGATCTGAACCATTTTCTGGTGCAGTTTTTAAAAGGTTTCAACATACATGTACATGTAATTGTTCATGTTTTAGATTCTTTTGTTCTGGCTACCTGTTCCTCTTATTCACACATTACATTTTCATGCACATAAATATGGGCGATTCGATAAATTAGGGGTCCAACTTGGGGACATTTGGGTGTCCTGTTACACGTGAAGCCAGTCAACTTTTCTTCATGTAAAATTGTAACATTATCAAACATTGTGCAGATTGAACTGTATATTGTACAGGTCATAAACAATGTAATCCTGTTTGATCTACAGAATGTGAACAGTACTAATATTAGTTCCATCCAGAAAATTTGAATGGTTTCACCTGTAACAAAACACCAAAATGTCCCTAAGTTGGACCTCTAATTTATATAATCACCCATGTACATGCACATGCCTCTACATGGAAACACGGTACGTTTACATAGGCTGAAATAGCATTGCTTTAATTTTGGAAAACCTTTACTTTGGAACATCAATGTGCTGTACGTAGAAGATAATTACGTAGGAAGTAACACGTGTACATGTACCTGATGATAATAAAAACTAGCTTTCATTTCCGCAAATGACTACAAAAACCAACGCATGCAATTCTAGCCATTATTGATAGCATCCGTCCTTCCATCAGGGCTTATTGCTTTTCATTTGGGTTTTGAGGCAGCTGGGATTTGATGAAAAGGGATGGTACAATGGGGAGCGACTTAAATTACAAGATTGCTGCGTGAGTCATGCACTTCAGTGTCTAGGGCCACTGAAGATGCGGCAGTTCAATGAAACTCAATGTAGTAACCAAACGGTGGCTGCAAACCCGCTCAAAAAAAAGAGAAAATTTGTTACGCAAGTCCCACCAGTCGATCAGTGATCTAATAAAACCGGCATCAAATGAATTTGAGATGTTCCCATCACCAGGGAATGGAGGAGATTTAGAAAAAAAACCTGACAGGCAGAGCCGGCTTAGCCCTCAAACAGGATCTGATCATTAACTCCAGCCGGATATATATACACTCGTGACTGCATATGCAGAGGGTTGTGGCACAGTATAAGGAGTCCCACTGTCCAGGACTACTGTCTGAGATTTTCCCTTGCCCATTAATTATTGAATGCACCGCTGCTGTCTGTGAGCGTTAAGAATCTAAACTAAAACAAATACTGTACCAGTGTAGCCGTCTCCAAAATGTTCATCCATTTTGTAGCTCACTTGAGGGAAGACGATAGAAATACAACCTCAGCGAGAATGAATTGCAGAATGTGGGGTCTGATGTCTGTCACATTGGCAGCAAAAACATACAGAGCATGGAGTAAACCCAGTCATGATGATGTGGGTTTCGCTCCATACAGAGCATGGAGTAAACCCGGTCATGATGATGTGGGTTCGCTCCATACAGAGCATGGAGTAAACATTGCATTGCATGCAGTAAACAGAGCATTGGCAGCAAAAACATACAGAGCATGGAGTAAACCCAGTCATGATGATATGGGTTCAGTCAGCGCTTTGGAGGCAGTTACATTAGGTTAGGCTAAACTAGGCCAAGCTAGCCAAGCAAAATACATGTACATGTCGTAACCTGTTACTTGTTATGGTATCATCCCAACTAAGTAAATCACAGCAATACCTACCAGTAGCTTAAGTAAGTTTCGTTGAAACATGTGAGTACAGTAGACTAATATTGCATGCATCATCCTGCATTGTTTTTTTATTATTTTGTATGGAGCATGTGTACATTTTTTTCAGAGATAAAGCCCATTTTAAAATACAGCTCTGTTTCTGTCATTTTCATTTTCTTTTCTCTTCTTTTCCTTGTTTGTTCTGTTTTATTTTATTGTTACTGCTAGCAGAAACATTAATTGGACCTTAATTACGTACATCCTGATTCATGCTGATAGTCTCATTGAAATGAAGAAACCCATTGAAAAAATTTACTTGTAACTGCAGTTACATTGTACACGTACATGTACCATAGTACCCCAATTGATTTGTTATTACTGGTCTATATGTACCCAAGGCCTTGAGCATCATGAGTTTTTTTCTCTTTTCACAATCCAGCAGTGTGCTTAATGTGCTTCCCGTGGCATTTTTAAAATCAGTTTAAAAAGAATGTGACGTTTCATTAATGTCAGGAGCTCAGTTAAAAGCATAGAAATTTGCATTGCCAAGATCTAAGTTACGTATCAAACCACACGTACGTGTACAAGTTATCTACATGTAAATGGCTGGAAAATGATTTGTACATGTACCTAGCTGGTGACCAATTTTCTTCAGATATTTTGCTCAGAAAAAAATGGCTTAGCTACATTATATTATCTGTCTTAACCAGGCATACAAGTTTTCCTCGGATCAGCTGATTTCCTCGTTTTTCACTCCACACTCATGCCATTTCAAATTGGAAAACACCCCACGAAGTCTAGTAAAGTTTAGAATTTCCTTGTTTTTTTCCAAAGTCCAAGTTGCCTTTTTAACAGCTCCCCAAATTGGTCCCGGTCAAGAGAACTTGAGAATTTCTTGCCTCCTCAGGATGGCCTTGTGTGAAAACAATATTAGGTCTGTTCACTGGGGCAAGCATACAGCCGTGACTGCAGGAGAAACATTATTGCCCTACTGATTTTCATGCACATACTGTACATGTCTACTGTATGTATGTAGGCTACAGATTTCCCGCCTATAGTCCATTTCTGCTCCAGTTTTAATGTTGGACGTGCCATGCATGAAAAGAGTTTAATTACCTCCCAATACAACTAGAGTAGGTTGACTTGGGGCAAGTACATCTACATGGCAGAAAGTTGGAGAGAGATTCCTTTGATGTATTTCCCCAGTGAGTTTTCTCATTAAGTGCGAGTTAGGCCAAGATTATTAATTTCTTTTCCAAGTGGCCACTGGGGTAATAGGGCACTTAGAGCGCTGCAATATTCAGCCAGATAGGCATGCCTGTCATTATGCATTTACGGCTGTGGAAATGGTAGTGAAAGTTAAAACTGTTTTGAATTTGAGAAATTGCGTACATGTACATGTAAATGGTTATAAAATAGCTGAGTACGGTACATGTAGTTGATCGTACATCACTTCTACAGAGACGAGGACAACCTTTAGTTTCTTGTGTAAATTACCAGTACTCATAACTTCTCTGAATTCAAGGCTATGGACCTTGATAAAGACTTGCACGTAAATCTTTAACATTAATGGTGTTTGCAGAAGAGGTCTGTAACTTCTAATGTGTGTGTACATGTATGCCAAAACCCCTATCGCGCTGATAATCCAACAAGGTTTGTGCAGCCCAGTCCCCTCACAAATTGTGCATCGTGTGGGCCACCATCAGATTGATAATGGACGAGCTGTATACCCTGTTTAGCGGTATCTTAATTACGCCTGGTTGTGCTGAGCTCAGTTGTTCAGGATACGAGATGTCTTTACCAGTGTTCAGGAGAAGAAAACCATTATGCAATGTAATAGTACCTGCAGCTATGTACCCGATACACATTTGCAGATAAAGTGGTAAATGCTAGAGTTCTGACATTTCCATCGTGCAATCGTTCTTGAAGATTACAACAATTCTGCTATAATGGAAATATGTCAGGCCCTCAAATGAGTTTTACTATGAAGTCAAAACTGACATGAAGACCAGAACAAAGAAATGTTAAAGCCTTTTGGGGGGGCGCTCGTTCATTTCATGCGCATCAGTGGGATGTGCAAAGCCAGAAGAGACAAGTAGAATGAATTCTGATCTTTCTTTTCTTTTTTTTCCATTCTTTTGTCTAGCTGATTGTCAAACTGAAGGAGTGGGGAGCCACCGGTTTACTGGTCGAATACGAAGACACGTTCCCCTACACTGGGGATCTTACTGAGCTGGCACTACCTAGTGCATACAGGTAAGGACGGAGAGGCACTAAAAGCCTTTGTGCCTCGCCGTGCATACGATTCGGTACATGAGTATGCCTCACAAGATTTACAGACCATTTTCTGTATCAAGTTTTGGGTCCAAGTCTCAGATGAAGAAGGTCCCTGATGAGGTGCAGGTGCTCAAACCTCATCTCTCACCGACCAAGACATGTTATTGCAAGATATTTAATATGTGAGTGCACATCGTGGGTCATGTGGGTGTTTTTCCTCACTTGTATGTTTGTGAGGGAAACGATCAGAGGACATGGCTTGTGAAGCACACTCGATGGAGGTGATACAAAAGAAGAAGAACCATGTATTTATGCACACGATGATACTGCCCTCAGGGGAGTAAGAAGATCAAACTTTACAGATCCTTTATCTTTCCCCCATGAGTGCGCAGAGAAATTGCATACACAGTAAACGTATACCATAGGATGCTTGAGTGCTTTGTTTTTGTATGTCATTTCTTGCATGGATTGCTTAAATGGAAACGATGCGCTTCTGTGGACCCGGGGACAGACTTAAGTACCCTCTGACATCCATACATGTACATGTTTATGCAACAAAGGAAGTGTTAAAGTAATCAGAAGCATTACCTAGGGAATTGGCAAAGACATGGTCTGATGTGGCATAGAGAAATGCATACAACGTGTTGATGAAAAGATGGGGAATGTTGATGAGCATTTAGGTGGTAGAGTGTTTATACAAGTACACATACAGTCAATTCTCGTTATAACAAAGTTGCAGGCAGCAGACAGATTACTTTTTTACACAGGACTTCATTATAAGAGGAGTGAAAAAAGAGAAAAACATAAGAATTCAAAAGTGGGATCCTCAAAATTTGTTCTTTATAACAAGAGTCACCTTTAGATGATCATTTGAGGCATAGTGAAAAGGAAAACAAGAAGTCCTTGTACCTGACACAAGCAGCCCGTGTGCACTGAACCAGTGAACTTTGTGTCGTATCAAGTGTAAGACTGTTCAGTTGGGGATGTGATTGAGAAGACCAGTATTCATTAATGCTAGTGGAATATTACACTCCATATTACCAAGTGCACTGGGCCACATCTGTCTAAACTCTCACAGAAGAGAAAAAATGTAGCTTGTACAGATTTAGTAGACAGATCTGAAATCCAGCACATTGGTTGCAGTCAGTGAGAAAAAAACGATGCATTATGTAAATTGGAAAGGAAAATAATGCTGTTATACATTTAGCAAGTCACGCTTGTGCCAGATACTTTAACCTTTATACTACGGCACAGCTTGTGTAATGTTGTGTATAAGGGGAGTGTAGCCCTCGTGCATGAGGTTTGTACACGTACATGTAACTCCTTATTGGAATGTCTGAGGTTTGAAATCAGCTGTTGGAAGCAACTTGTGATGGCCTGGCATTCCAGCCAGCAGCAGAATTCTCAGTTGTCGGATGCTGAAGGACTTGGAGATAAACACCAGCGAGATGAGCTGCATTGGCTTGGGACAGATTTTACTCACCACACTTTACTACCCTGTGCAATGTGAAGTTTGTTTGACGTGTTCACCACACTGTCAGATTCAAAAACCTGTCAGTTGTCCCTTGCAGGCTTGGTGGTCGAGTAGTTTGGACATCAGCATCTAGAATCTAAAGTGTCACGTCATTTTGTACTTGGAAGTGTAGTGCAAATGACTAGAGTATGTGCACCTGTTGGTTCACAGGCTGATTCTTGCACTGATGTCTTTTACATGTACAAATGTACTGGTACATGTACATACATAATTGTGTTAGTGACTTATTCACTTCGGTATTCTGTACCACCAAAGCAAGCAAACATGTATGAATGTTTTCTATATCATGAGCCCTCTGATGTCTGAGTAATTACTTTCAAGTCTGACAAAGATAATTTTGGAAAGACCAGAACGAATATTAAATTTGCATCTCTGTGACATAAAAATTCTACTGTCGATCAGCAACTCTCTGTTGCTGAGAGTGTGTTTGATGAGAGCCTTCTCAAATGTTTACCAACCCTTACTTGAAACGCAATAACAGCTCTGTCTGTGTTCAGTCATATAACCTGATGAGTACAATGAGGAAAGGATGTAATCACTATACAAAACTACCTGAGTTGGAAATTGCAAAATAGAGGGTACTCCTTTAGTCTGTCCACTCATCCCCTTGTTCCGCGAATCCCATATTTGTCAGGTTTGAAGTGGTATCCTTGCAAATACTGACTACCGCTTTACATGCTTCAACATTTCGGGCACCTGACAAGCATACTAATATTCTTCCCATGAATGTATTTCCCTCGTACATGTAAAGGTAGCCGCTGCCTTTGACCAAATGGAATGTGCACGTACAGAATTTTACCAACAGAGTTACAAACTTTGACTTTAATCCTGGGCAGTTGGCAAGAAAAAAGTTTAAGCACTGTATAAAAAGCAAGCAGCTACAGAGATGCGCATTTAGCTAAAGCTGCACTGTTTGCAACAGTGCAGTTTGCCAGCTGGAACCTGGCAGAAAAGAAATATTGCCCCATGAAAAATCTTCCCCTTAGACACCAAAAAAAAAATGCAAAGGGGACAAAGAGTTAGCAATGAAAAGGCATTATTGTTCTTGTAGTGCATACATTTGTATACTGTACATGTATGTGCAGTAGTCAAAGCATAGAGCAAGGATGGTCAAAGAAAGTGCTTGATTCTTCCATCAGGGAAAATATGCATACAGTAGTTCACCTGTGTGTAAACATCTTAGCATCCTGTCGGTGCATTTATACACAGTGTACCATTGGTTTACATGTAAAGGCACATGTATGTAATTCATATACAGGTACGTTGAACATGTACTGTATGTGGTCTACATGTGCATGTACTTGGAAAAGTTGAGGGGTTGTTGATCATGTTCATTTTGAGATTTATTTTCTCATTTCACTTGCATATTTCAGAGAATTGTTTTGTGCATTTTTGTTTTCATTTCACGTGTTATCTTCAGCCTGGCTGACCTCAAGGTTCTCCAGCAGCTAGCTAGAGACAATGACATGGAGTACATCCCCGTAGTTCAGACCTTCGGCCATCTAGAGGTGACTGTTTTTTTCACATTCCTCTGATAGCCCATTTTCTCTAGATCTCACATATATGTAGACTCATGATTGGGTATCAACAATTCATGAGACCTCATTATATACATGTATGCTCACTACCCTGGGTGGCATGTAGTGCCAGTACATACATGTATAAGTGGAATTAAAAATCATCACCTTGCCTTGGCATGGCAACTGTTCTTGCGAGGGGCTTGTGCATTACCACACTCGTTCCAGAACAAAAGGGTAATATTGACAGACCTTGGGTTTTTGTTTTGTTTTGTGGGGGGGACAGTTGTTTGTTTGGAGGCAAGAAGAGTCGTTCAGATGTGAATAACCTTTGACGTTATTTACTTATTGTTTGTCGACAGTATGTGTTGAAACACAACAAGTTTGTCCACCTGAGGGAAGTACCAGAGTTCCCAACCAGTATTTGTCCATCGAAAGAAGGTGAAGTCAGACATGGCAGTAGACATAACCCTCATTCAATGTCACAATTGTACTTGTTGCCTGCCAGTGGCTGGTGAATTATGACTGGTCATCAGCAAAGACATAACCCACACAGGGTTGAAAAGTCTTACATAGCCAGCAAAATTAATGTCCTCTAAAAACTGGAACTATATGCAAACACATCCCCCAAATATTTGGGCAAATGTTTATTTTGAGGCAGAACCTGTCACAATCCAGGAGTATTGTTTCTGTAAATGTTTGCCGCCTAGACAAAGAGTAGGCAGTGTTGAGGTCTGTACAACAGCTTAGGGCCAATTTCATAGAGCTGCCTAAGCACAAAATTTGCTTAAGCGTGAAAAAAACCTTGCTTGACAAATAAGGTTACCTGCCAAAACTCCCATGTGATGTATATTGTTTTGGAATGGTATTCACCTGTCTGTGGGTTAGCATGACAATTACATAGATTTTTAGCTGGTAACCTTTGTTTTTAAGCAAGGTTTTTGCGCTTAAGCAAATTTTGTGCATAAGCAGTTCTATGAAATTGGCCCCTGGCACTTAAGTATCATTTAGTAACCTGATTAATCAACCACTGTGTCAGCTTTGGGTTACATTTTCAATTAAATGAAAAACACTTCTTAGAGATTTCTTACCAGAAACCACAAGAAATGACCCAAAAAGTACATGTATTATAGCCAAATTCTCCAACATTTTTTACAACAGTGGGAGTATTTTGGAGACTGGTTTGCTCAGTACAATATAACTAGTTTCTTGGTGAAAGCGGCACACATTTGAAAAATAATGTCTACCCAAGATTCTGCTTTGTGGCAAAATAAATCAATTTCGGTGACTGAGATCTAAGCATGCTAAGATTGTGAACGTTTTCATGGTCTACTGAAAGGTTTGTACACCCTTTTGTTAACAGTGTTTCTGTGACGTTTTGTATAAATGTTACTGTAAAAAGCAAACAAATACTGTTTGTGTCGAGCCTTGAGCTCTTTGAATTTCTGGGCTGTGCAGCCACAGCGTAGGACACTCAGATGAGTCATACATTGACAGATGGCCCTCAAGGTAATGGGAGGGCAGAGTTGCTGTACGTGCCAGGAATTTGCACCTGTCTCATTATTAGTTCTTGTGCAAGTATTCGGACCTCCTGCCTTCCTCCAAGCCAAGTTTTGTTGAAGTTCAGTGGTTCCAAATGCCCACTAATGGCATAGCAGGATTTGAGCAATTTACATGCGTAAGCAGAGCATGCCATATTCTAGGACCAGACTACATGTACATCAAGCAGTTTAATGTTGCTGTGTGGATCATTGTTTCAAATTGTGCTGGTACACCAACATTATACTCTATTTGATTTTCCCACAAGGCTGGATCCAGTCGAATGTTTGTCCTTACAATGTTTGGGTACGGCACATAAACTGAGCATTTTAGTTCTTTGTGTTATATGCCATGTATTTAAATGCATATTGCTTGGCATGCAAAACCTTTAAAACAACTTGTTTTCTACATTGAAACTGTTAACATATTTCCTTTTGCCATTTGTTTCTTGTTGAACTTAATTTGGGGGCGACATGTTCATGCACCGTAGCCTTTGAAACACATGTAGATTGACGTGTAGCTTTTCTTTGCATTTCAAGCTTTGAATACTTTAAACATGTACATGTACTGTTGCTCTTCTTTTTATAGCAAAGTGCTTTTTGCATTTTCAATTACAAAAATGCCATCAGTCGACCCAGGTGTTGGGGTGTGGAATGTCATGACATTGTGTTCATTGTTCTCACTGGTACCCTGTTTAATTGGTTGAGTGATTTGTTTTATGTCGTCAGATTCCCTCCTGTTAATTCAGGAGCTACTAGACCAAGTCATCCAGGCACATGACGGCCTGAAGTACTTCAGCATCGGTGCTGATGAAGTAAGCCCCCTTTGCCTGTCCTGTCCAAGTTAGACTTGGTTTGTGCATGCGTGCTGTTTGGGTTTGTTCTGTCAGTCAGCAAGGTAAAGAAAAGATTCATACCCCCCCCCCCAGACTGTCTCGCACGTTTCTAACCTGTGAAGAGAGTGACTAAGACACCCTCAGTGCAACTCCAATGTTTGTTGTATGAATTGAACCCCATACAGACCTGCCAACCTAGCCGTACTCCTTGCGGAGGTCAGGCATTACCACACAATGGATTAAAAGGCACATGTATTTAAATGAGCCTCCAGTTCATTTAAATTTTTAATCTATTGCGTGGTAATGCCTGACCTCCAGGAGTATGGCATGTTGGCAGGTCTGCATGTAGTTTTAAATTTGTCAGACAAACTGGTTATAAGAAAGCAATAAATGAAATTTCCATGGGCTTTTTTCTGTAAAATACTTGGTTCTTCATGTCCACAGGCACATTACACACACATGCATACGCAAGTATCCATGACTTAGCCAAATTGTCAACCAAATTCTAATTTCAACTTTTTGCCTTCTCTTCTGAAAGGATAATATCTCACCACATCATGCTGAAGACTTTTCCATGTGGGAATTATAGGCCTATGTTTAAACCATTCAGCATATTAAGAGGAATTTCCAGCCCCTGTTAGGTGAAAGGCTGCTCATAACAAATGGTACTCAGTACCAAATATTCCCTCAGGGACAAACACCCCTTAGAGCGTGAAAAGTCACAGGGTTGCCGTCAGCGCCTGACATTTCCAAAGAGCCTTGGAATATGCGATATCAATCTGCAATCTGCAGATCAATCAAATCACTTAGGTCATTACCAGTAAATGAAGCCAGTAATGCCAGCATCTCCAATTAGGCAGTGGGGCCATCACCAGTGTTGGTTTTGTGGCTGGCGGACAGCAAAGATGATTAGAAATGATGAGAAGAAATATGTATTCTTGTGATAGTGATGACATGTCTACTTGCTCACTTCAAATAAGAGGAGTACAAATGGTGGCACTGGTGTTTATCATACATGTGCTGTGTATTGAAGTCAACTCTCATTTTAACAAGGTTGCCAGGACTAGCCAATTTCTGCACGAGGGTTATTCCAGAAATTAGGGGTCCAAAAGTGTGAAATTTTGTGCCCTTGTTACATCTGACCTTTGTTTATTTGATATGAAAATATCACTGGAATTGATTTCAAACTAGTACTATTGTTTGGCAGGTAATATGCATTAATTCAACACGCTTGGAAATTAAAAAATGTGTTCTGAACTTACAAAATCATATGTCAGATGCGACAGGGACACAGAAAAAAAGTGGACCCCTAATTTCTGGAATTACCCACATCTACTACAGTATTCAATGACCACTTAAAAGGACTAGGGAAAAAATCAAGTGAATTCAAGAGAGTTGGACCTGAGGGTTTGGTCTTGAGTGTTCTATGATAACAATGCTCTTCATTATGAGAGTTATCAGTAATTACAATGTATGCATACTGAGCCTCTCAAAACAGTACCTGTTAAATTTGCACAGTCATTTCACAGTCACATTTTCCTGTATATTTGTTGATTAGAAATGGGAGCTGGAATCCGCTGGTCATTATGCTATTTAGTATGTTGTAGGATTAGGAGACGTGTGCTGTAAGAACTTTGAAGTCCTCCTCACACTGTCTGGACAGGCAGAAATGGTCTCTCAAATGTGAATGATGCCTTCAGGCCAATGGCATGATTGCAGGGGAGAGGGATGTGATGGAATTCCCTCTGAGATTGGAAGGGATCCTTTCTTTCTCTTGACCATAGCTCATGCAGTGGTAATTGTTCGTGCTGACCCCTGCCCAAGGCACATTGGACAAACACGGACTGTTTTGAGCAGTAGGGTGAAAACCCACCTTGCTGAGGTGGTTCACCGTGTGTTTGATTCTCTGCGAGGCGAGGCCCAGGGAATATATTTCAATTTGAAAAGAATTGGAAATGTTTCCAGCCATGTGAACTCTTCACCCACCATGCCTGCAATAACAGACACAAGCCTGCGTGCGTGGCTGGATTCATGTACATACATGTACCAGGAAGGTACAAGGTACATCTATATAGGCAGGGAACTCTTGTTAAAAATAGTACATATGTAGTATGTTGCTCGTTATGCAATGAGGCTGTCTGAATATCTAACCTGTGTATGGTAAAGTAGACTAAGTACACACTCTCTAACTGTAGAATTTTTTTGTACAGTGATGTTACAAATCTTGGTGCCCAGGGTTTAATCATTTTATTTCTTACTTCCAAGCTATATGAAGCCTATAATTAACCTGATGGCATGTCAGGTGAAAGATGTCTGTTTTGGTAATATTATTACATAAGTGATTGATTTAGTGTGCATTTGAGTCGTTTTTCTTATGTTGGGCACAGGTTGTACATCTGGGCTGTTGTCACAAATGCCAGCATCGCATAGAGACTGACCTGGGTGGCTTTGGCTGCTCTCTCTACTTGGATCATGTGACCAAGGTGCTTCAGTACATACGCAAGCAGCATCCAGGGATTACATGCATAATGTGGGACGACATGCTCAGGACCATTGACCCCAAGCTCATGAATGGTATGTACGGTAGCAGATAATCTTTTTGGCCAGCGTGCGCATGTGCGCTGAGGACGAACACGTTTTATCAGGTTGCAGCGTTGAAGGAATCCATCAAGCCCTCCATGCTATCAGGGATAGTTCATTGGTTGCCATCTGAGTTGTAATCCACTCAGTTGCAAAGAAACACCATGAACAGTGATAAAGGAGTGCAGGGTTCATTTGAAGAGCTTGTGATTAGCTTGTGACGATGATGGGTCTCTATCAGTGTGACAGCTGAGTAGGCAGGCATGTCAGTTTGCCAGGGTGGGGTCCCTTTCATGTGAGAATGAAGACCAATGTTCAGGGCACTCAATGGGCCACAAGAGGTGTAGGGACAGAAGTCCAGGAAAGCAGGGTGCTGCTCTCATTGCCTTGATGGCAGCTACTCTGTGACTTGTGACTTTTCAAAGATGTGATTTCCTTCTTTGGCTTTATTAACTGCGTGGACATCTTCCACATTTCAATGGGGTGACTAGCTATCGTACACTCAAAGAAGTGTCAGTGTACCAGTCGTAATTCACTGCTAATTTAAGTAAGTGGGTGGCCCTGCTGTCATTTGATTCACCTTCCAAGTTACACCATTTGGTCTCTTTGCTGATCAGCTCTTGCTTGTGCTGTTGAGCGTGGTTTCAGCATGGGAGGGGGATTATCAGTGTGTCTGGCCAGCTGACAGTACCTTACACTCGGAGTGACATACAAGGTTACTAAGTAACCGCTTTTACACTGTCCTTGCACTGTGACAGAAGATGCAAATGAAAGCTTTGTTTAAAAAAATAGGTTTTGATAGGGCTGAGTCAATTCAACTAATTCAGTGTTTGAATATTCGACCTTCAATTTGATCGAATATCCGAATATTCGGTCGTACCAACTGGCAGATTGTTGATGAACAAACCATATACAAAATCAGTTGCTCACAGTTGTACATTATGATCAGTATAATAGCTTCTTACATCTAGGAGTATCTCCAGCCGAGATTTTGCAAGATTTAAGAGATGAACAAGACTTCTTGCCCTCTTGAACTTTCTATTACTTTTACATTGTTTAATGAAAAATTTACATTGTAAATCGTTGTAAGATTTCTGACACTTTTCATTTGAATCTGCTTGGAACAAGCCTCCATAGTGCAATTTTCGCATTTTAAAACAAAAGAAAATTTTCCTTTTCATGAATTTTGCATTCGGATATTCAAATTCGAAAAATAATATTCAAATATTTGATGATCGATTGAATAATCTGTAATTTGGATATTCGGCACTTTGACTTGGGACCTGACCACATTATATATGAATGGGAAAATTGGCTGAACGAGCAACACCCTTAGTTACACCTTTGAAGTGTTGGAAATTGCACAGAGCGTACATGTGCTTACGGTTGATGGTGTTTCCTCCCCTTAACCACTTCCTGCCGGGGCATTTATCAATGTTGATGATGCTGGGGCGGGATAGTTATCATTTTTTTCTGTTTTCAACATTCTTTAAAAATTCCTGTCTTCATTTACTGGACACTTGCAAACATGTGAAGGCATGTCTGGTGTCCACTCTAGCCAGACAGACAAAATCTATTGACGCCTGAGTATTTTAGCCAGGTCTGCAGCCTTGTAAAACGAGCCCAGATTTTGTGGTGTTGCGTAATATTCTTTTCTTCACAAACCTGGCTGAGTGCGCTGCTGACCTCGTTTCAATAGGGGCCAGATTAGCATGCAGTGGTGCTGTGTGGCTCATTGCTGTGGTGGTGGAGCGCTTTTGTCCCCGGAGGTAATCCACTCGCTCTGAATGCCCCAAACCGTGGTATACTGTTTCAAAACAAGGCAGGATTATCTCCACTTTTGAGAGTGAAAAAATGTCGGTAATACCCAGCAGCCTGGTCTTTTGTTCCGAGTTCGATCTTTTGTTACAAGGCCCTGTTCCCTTTGTCTGAGTTCGGAGACCGTGGCCACGCATATAAAGTATACGTATCCGGATCCGGAGTTCCTGGCAGGAAGTGGTTAACCCAGTTTGTACATGTACATGTGGAATGCTGTATCCCTGTCTATGTGTCGATGTACCAGTACATGTGTGAAATAAAGTTGTTCCATTTAAAAGAAACCACAGGAACAATCATGTGCTGGCAGGTCGCTGACTCTTAACTGCATCATTTATGACTTGGCTGTGGTTGATATACCAGTAGTGCATACATACATCTACAGAGGTTTTTCATGTGACGTAACATGACAGGCAAAGACATTTCAAAAAGTGTACCGTGTCAGTGGTGGTTCATGCGTTTTCGAATCTGCATATTCCTTTTGGCAATTTCATGTACGCCAGAACGTTGCAAGGTTTCAAAGGCATGCACATTTCTACACACATCTGTGTAAATTGATCGCTGGCCATCAAAAATCATGTGACTGAAAATCCTCTATATTTGAAGTGGCGGCTGCTTATATCCAGTGCGGTTTGTGGCAAAGGGGGACCCCCCTAATAGGATGCACAAGCTACATGTACATGTATATATCTAAGACTATTGTGCCTACTTCAACCCCCCCCCGAAAATCTGAAAGGAATTCATAAGATTCCATCAACACAAAAGAAGACACAATAGAGAGGGATACAGCATTCCACATGTAAGAACTGGGTTGATCATATTCAGAGGAGGAAACACCATCAACCGTAAGCACATGTACGCTCTGTGCAATTTCCAACACTTCAAAGGTGTAACTGAGGGTGTTGCTTGTTCAGCCAATTTTCCCCTTGCCACATATCGTGCATCAAATGCTGCTGCCAGTAGCTAGCACCTTCCATAGAGGCATGCGTTAGTTCTCTCCGTAGCCACATAATTTAGGACTTGACATTGTATTTGATTAATATTAAGGTATTGAGTGGCTGCTGTACAGTAATGTGTATTAGTGCTTTAGTGGGATATGGGCAGAGATGGGAACAGAGTGACATGAATGGCAAACACCTGTCGTGACATGACATCGTGACACTTGATTCTCTCTATCACAGATGTTAAGCTAGGTGAGCTTGTAGAGCCTATGGTTTGGAACTATTCTGACGATACGACGTCATTCAGACTGCGTTTTCACCAAGGGATGTGGGAGAACTACAGCCAAGTGTTCAAGCACTTCTGGATAGCCACCGCATTCAAAGGTTAAAAAGTGGGATTTGGGTTCCTCCTGTACCTTCACAGCACGCAGAGCCTATTGAAGTTTGTTTGGTCACATGCTTAGCTATGGAGTGCATGGGATTTGGGTCTGCACACTGATTACCTGGCCCATTTCTTCCAGCGCTGCAAAGTTTTGATTCCATGGTACAGATGCAAGGAGCACAGATGGGTTCTACTGAGAAATGTCTACTCTTACCTGAATTTTTTGTGGAAAGGATGCCAGAAATGAAGACTTTGGTCGTACTCATCAACTAAGTAATCTTTTTCTGCAAGGTGCAGTGACTTTAAAAACTCTTGTCAGTTCTCGTGTGGTAAATTATGGGCAAGTAGGTAGACTCTCTGTCATGCTTGACTGTTCTCTTCTTTGTTACTGTTTCGATGCTCTGCACTTTTTTCCACTTGAAGCACCCTGCAGTTAATTTCTTTATGACACAGATTAACACCTCAAAATCTTGCATGTGAGAACATCTGAAGGTATTTTGTCTTGTTTCACATCTTACATGCACTATAGAATCACGATTTGGCTGTTAATGTAGGGTGGTTGTTGATATCAATGGTGTGTTGGTTGTTTTATTACGTGTGGTTGTTGTTTTATTACGGTGGTTGTTGATATCAACGGTGTGTTGGTTGTTTTATTACGTCATCATCAGGAGCTTTTGGACACACTCTATACTGGCCCCCTTCCAAGCTGCATGTTCAGAATCACCTGCTGTGGCTGCAAGAACTGGACAAGACGATCCCCAAGACCCTGACACTAAGGGGCTGTGTGCTGACTGGCTGGCAGAGGTACGAAGGAATTGTTGGGGGGGGTGGGGACATTCTGGCAACTAGCATTAACTCTTTCGCCTTACCCTGGGTAAGGAAAAGTAACGACAGATTACGTGTATTTTTCAAACAAGGCCTTTTACTTTATTTGGCTTAACTCTGCCTGTCTTATATCCTGTTTTACTGGATTGTACTAAATTTTTAAAACCGTTGGATGAGAATGATCAATTAAAGAGGATATTTTTTATTTCTACAGGTATGATCACCTGTCAGTACTGTGTGAGTTGTTACCTACTGCGTTGCCCTGTCTAGCACTCTGCTTACAGGTCCTTTTACAAGGTGTGTTGACCGTCTTTGCTTATAACCAGACACTGCTTGGATTATTGGTCAGATCTTGTAGAGAGTGAATACAAGAGTTTAATGATGAGGTTGAAAGTGGAGTGATCCTTCCGTCCTCTGAGTTCCTTCGTTCAGTTTTTGCTTGAGAATGTACGCGCATGAGTTTGCTTTACCTGTGAACAGGCTTCAGATTGAAGTGTAGCTGGATTAGGTCAAGCTGAAGCTTTACCGGTTTATAAATTGTTGGGGTAAATGGTGTCTCATTTTGCAGGAACTGTTTCTTTACTTTTGCCTCAACTGCAGGTGGCTATTCCCATGACGTCTTGGAGAGGGTGTCCAAGCAGCTTGGCTTTACCGAACCCTTCCAGATAGAGGTTCCCCAGCACACTGAGTAAGTTGGCCAACTCCCCCAGGTTTGCAGTCTTTCTGTTGGTGTTGGCAGCAGAATCCAGTGCTGATGGTTCAGAAAGGGCTCGAAATTGGGCTAATCATCATGGGAGCAAGTACTTATTCCCTAGACAGCTGAATTTGTCAGTTTACGGGAGCAAGTTGCTCCCATACAATATTAAAGACATATGTCCAAGAAAAAAAAACAAAGACCCTGGTGCTTGCTGTTGCTTTTAAATTAATGACACTGATAACTTATGGCTTAGACTTTGGCAGTTGGGCACCGGGCCTTTATAACGTGCATATGCACACAGACGTAAAAGGAACTAACTGCAGCAATTGGGCATTTTCGAAATGAGTGGATTAGGCTGAGACTTTGGTTTCGCTGGTTCCAGTTATTTTGGAGCAAGGTTCAAAACCACATGTTCAAGCTATGACTGGAACCAGCGAAGCTGAAGTTTATGCCGAATCCACTCGTTTAGCTGGTTTCCATACAGTCATGTGTAAATTCCAGCCGTATCGATTCAGACACAGCCACTGTGCAGACCATTCAGCGAGATTGCGACACTGGCCCCGGGTATGTGTGTGTACGTTCGTGTGTGTGCATGCATGGCATGCGAGACTGCGGTGTGCGCTGTGTGACGTTGCAAAAAAAATTGCACCGTGTTAAAGTTCCGTGACAGGGCTGATCCGAAGTGAAGTCAAAAAGTTCAGGTGTTTTTCATGACAAAAGTAGAAACAATGGTAAAAATGTTCCTGGAATCAAACATAAGTAAGTACTTAAGCCCGTCATGAGTTACGGGTACATTTCTCAGACAAACGGGTGCATTTTAGCTACCTGCGCCTGTTAATTTCGAGCCCAGGCCTCACAAATCTGTCTGAGGTCCACTGCAAGTGATCCAATCTCAAATCTTCAAGTCTCAAATAGACTGTACAAAGGACTGTGGCAGAGACTTTCCTTTTGTCGTCGTTCATTCCGTTACCTGTGACCAGACATGATGTGGATCATAATTGCCTTGTGATTTGACATGTGACAGCCCTTGACTTCCCACACATGCTCGTAAGTCAGCGCGACTTGCATTCTGGCATCATGTACAGGTTTAGCTCTAGTATTGTTGTACACATCATTTTTTGGCTTGATAGTTTTATCCATGTTTTCATAAGTTTTATCACTTTTGCTTCATTTGTCTTTGTGGCTTTCAAATTAGCTGTCGTATCTATGTGCATTTTTGAGGATGATTTTCCTTTCTTGGGAATTGTCTTTGTATTTCACCCGATTGCTTCCACCAACCATTTAAATTAAATTACAAGGTTTCCGATTGGTCCTTATTCCTCCAGTGGGTGAAAGATTGGGGAATGTCAGGGTGAATGTTTGGGTCTTCGTTTCCTATTTCAGTTCTCTCAGTTCCGAGGAGGCCTTTCCAAGCAGTGACTTGTATTCAGCCATCCAGGATTTGGTCATATTTGAGGCATCGCCCAGATTCAAGGATTTCATGTCTCAGAGCCAGCTGCACGCAAACATGTGAGCCACTCTTCCCTGGCATTCTTTTGGCAATTATCAAATGAAGAAAAAACCTCTTTTCAAAGTGACATAGTTGGGGCAGAAGTTCATTTGCTATATTCAGAGAAAGACGGAAAGGTCTTGCTTGGAATGACTGTCGTGCAGTGCCTCTATATTATGAAAGAATGCATGGAGAAACCAAGCAAAACGTGGTTGGACATATGAGGGGTGTACACATAGTACGAGAACATTTCGGATACTAGACGACCAAAAGGGGTGATTTTTAACTGTTAAGGACCCACACTGGTGTAAAATGGGGTACATTTTGCAGGGGGGCATTTGGGAGGCCCATGTGTTCTGGAGGGGGCACTCAAAGGGTTTGGTCACAGTTGAAACTCTGGCCAAAGCAGACAATCACAAGATTTTTCTGTCGAATTTTTTTGGGGGGAGGGGGCACAGTTACGCCACTGTGGACCCATTTTGTCACCATTTGCAAGAGATAAGATCTGTGAAAGGTAGACGAATCTGCAGTGGTTTGTTGTGTTTTCAATTTTCTTCTCACTGCAAGAGGTTAAAGAAAAGAAGACAATCGAAGCTACCGGTACTCGTCATTATTATATCATCTCTCTCAGTAGTTCAAAAGAACTGATTACCATGGAAGTGTCCAAAGGATGGAAAGGCGGTGAAAGCAATTTTTTTCTTCCTCAACAGGGACCCCAATGCCAGAATTGCCACAGATCTTCCCATGGTCCATTACTCTGTTGAGGAGAGCGCGACAGAGGCCAAGAGGTAGGCAGCAAATTCCCGACTGATCTGCTTTCACTGGATACGTACGGTCTTTGTTGGCTGGTAGCACAGAAATCCATTAGGCCTGAGCAGATGAGCGTTGTAATTAGATTGGAGAGGAATGTGTACGGCATGAAGTACTCTGGGACTTTTAATGGGATAAGATGTGATCTGTGGTTGACAGGGACTGAAAATGTCTACATGGAGGGCAGTGGGGCAAGTGCATTCTATGTACCAAGGACCCTTAAAGATGTATGTACATGTACACGGCACACACACATGACAGATGAATGTGTCTGTGTGTGCTCGTGCTCTCAGTGACTTTTTGGATGCACGGCTTTGGAAGACAGGTATTTCAACAGTATGTTAATTGACAGAAATGCTGTTTCTTTTTTTCCCTTGGTTCTTAGAAGCCTTATTTCCGACTGATTGTTCTCTGTTATATTTTTATTCTCAGTCTGGTGGGTCAGCTGGAAGCCATCCGGCAGAGGGCACGGGCCGCCCTGGGCTATGTCTACCACACCACAACCAAAGAGGAGTGGCTGGAGCTGCGCATCAACCCCATCCTGAGGGCGCTGAAGATGTTCGTTGGAGGTGGGAGCATGGACGAAGTCAGGGAGGAGGAGGAAGATGAGATGGAGCTTGGGAAGAGTTAAGATGACCTCCAACGCTGGCCAGTGATCTACACAGAAGGCACAGAAGGTACAGAAGGCACTTGAACCATAATTTGAAAATCTACCAGTGAGAAATATGAACAGACAAAAGAGAGTGTTATTTTTGTGTCCCCAAGCAAGGCAGTTTACCAGTGGTTGGAACTGTGCTGACAGACAATAAGAGGGGAACACAGGGTACTATATTGGTATCCCTCTGCTAAGCACGTTTGACAGTACTGTCGTTGGGAACTGATGACAACAGACCAGTGGGACTGGAGCACAGAATACCATTTTTGTGTCCCTAGGCAAGGCACTTTATGCACCAGCAAAGATGGTTAGCTGGCACCTCATTGGATTGTCAGTGACGACTGTAGAGTGTCCCGCCAACAACAGCTGTACAGCTGCAACTGTTTGCTGCAACTACAGAACAAGATTTTGGGACCTATGGAGGTGGCCCTTGTATTTGATAAAACTGAAAACTCTGTTGTTGGATTATTTCCAGACTGCCTTATGGGCAGATCTGAAAGTTCGTAGGCTTGCCATCGATATTCATGTGGCCGGTGCAACATCCACTTGCTCCAGTGCTGGTGAGGCACAAAGAACAAGCAGCCGTACCCACCAATTATAGCAGTTGACACTTTACACAGGAAGGACTTTATGGTCAACTGAGTTTGGAACTTCAGCTTGTGGGCTTCTGGAAGATTGGAAGTGGCCATCCTACTGCTTGTTATATTATTTGTAACTTCCAGTTTTGAACAAACTCCAAACCATTGTTCATGTGTCCTCAGAATCTTGCTGGTGGTCAGATGGGGAAATTACATGTACTTGCCCTTTGAAGATAATCCTTAGTACAATTTTACTACACATGCTGTTAGATATTGCTAGAATTTATTGGAATTACACCAACTCCAACTCAGACTGACTGCAGGTTTTAGAAATCCTTTGACCATGAAAACAAAGATTCGGCCAAATGTCACACTTGGGATCACGTTTGGTTGACTTTACTGAGTGTGTGGCTGTAATCGTTTGTCATGACCATACTTCTGTTATCTGTTAGTTCACTTTGGGCAAGGTAACATTCATGTGTGAAAGTTACATGCACACTCTGCAGTTTGAGCTAACAGATGACCATTTTGATCTCCGTATAAGATAGGATAATCACTTAAAGTGGCTACCTGCCACCATCTTGCCAGTTGTTGAATTTGTTTGTTGGCATGCAGCATGTATTGAACTCATAGACTTTAAATCTGTCAAATTTTGCCAAGAGCTACAAGTTCCTTGGCTGCTCATTTTCATACTACATATAACTATGATTGTGTACATATGCATGAAACTTGTTCATTTCTGACAGATCACAAAGAATACACAGTGCAAGATGAGACAGATTGAATCGCAGGTTTAGTCTGAAGGAGTTTGCGCAGTAACTGCCGTAAATAAACACAAAGAAATGCAGGGTCTGAGGACTTTTAACAGCTTTTTAACTTGGGAAAAAAACACTGTCACCAGAGAGGGAGGTTAGCCTACTTGAATACTTGATCCTGTGGTGTGACTGATTTCAGCCTGTAGATTCTACTGCTCATGTAGCATCAATGCTACATCCTGATCTGCTTCATCATCTTTCCAGTGTTCTACTGTGAGGTCTTTCAACCCTCCCTTCTTCATGGCGGTTCAACTTTGTTGCATGCTGCCACCGGTGTCTGTCTGCCTGTAGGGGCACATTTCTCCGTTGTGTCCAGCCTCTGATATACTTTGATTCCTTCCACTGTGTGTTCCCATTTCAGTGAGGCTTGATTTTATCCAGGAAGACTGCTGCTTGGCCAGAAAATACTTCATTATTGTTTTTAAATTGGATACATTCTGTGGTCTTTTAAGAATAACAGACAATTGCCAAATGTAGAATTTTTATTTTATGGTTTATAAAACCGCATTTGAGAGTAAAATGGAGGTTTGCATTTGTATGCATGTTTACATTGTAAGGTAAAAATGTTAGTTATTGCATGCACTTGCATGAATACAACAATTTCAGACTGCATATAGGGTTGCCCATAACATAATGTGTATCATCTACAAGTAAGGACATCTTTTTTATTGTTCACTCATTTGTGAAGGACGGACGTTTCTTGCCAGATATATTAATGTAAATATTATGTGCAGTTAGTACAATATAGATTTCAGATGTAGACATTATGGATGCTAAGCATTTGTAAGGGATGTGCATTAAAGTCACCGGTGTGGGCCGAGTAGCATTAAATTTACAGCCTAGTCATTTTACAAGCTAGCTATTCATTTCCTGTCACCTGAAGAAAACGACTGTAGAGCTTCTTTGTTGTAAAACTAGACTGGCACAAACCTCTTTGTTTGAAGGTCCTCAGGTGACAAAGTTGATGGTTGAGTCTCTGCTGCATTGTCTTTAGTACTATGTCCTTGATTCCCTTAAGATTGTGTGTCATGTCTGTGTGTATATTTCAGCACAATTACGGTATTTACTATTACCACACACATGATCTTTTGTAAATACATCCACTACATGTATATTGGCATCTCAGACAGGGCCAAACATCAGGTAAACGTTGATGAATAAAAAGTCCCAGCAACTCTAATAAAATGCAGAATTTTGAATAAAGTATTCTTCAAGATGTGATTTTTATCAGGAAAATGGCACATATAAATCATATTGATTTTGTTATAAATTCAATTCAAGCACAGTGTAAACGCACAGTTATTACAAATATTACCATGCTGCCTTCATCCAAGACCAACTTTTGATCCAAACCCCATTGTATTATCAATTTTTGCTGAAACATTGTGTACGTGTTCTATAACAATTCATAATCGTGGATTTAAATAAAAGTATATTTGTAAATGAGCTGAAGATTAAATGTGAAAATGCATGTACATGGATGTGTTTGTGGTGGCTGTAGGCATGATGAACAAACGTTTTTTAACAAGCTGTGGGTTTCTCCTTGTATGTTTCAAGCAGCACAGTTGTCTCTTTTCAGATAGAACTATTTTATACCCCAGAGATCCGAGTCTGACTTGTTTGTCCATATGGTGAGAGTGTCAGACTGTTCTTTTCTGAAAACATATCAAGCCCTTTTTTTTTTGTAATGAATCCATCAAACTAGTGCAAAATGTATGGATTTCATACATCAATACATATTGAGGACAAAGAAACACAGCATTTGAAATATGAGATTTGATGCCTAATATCTGGAATGAAACAGCAAATCTATTAGTGCATTCGAGCAAACAGTGCCTGGGATAAATGCGTTCACTAATGGGAAGTGGAGACTTCTAACTGTGAACTTACTAAATAAAAATAACTATTAATGTTACATGATTCTAAGGTAAATAATGTGGCTGTACCACATACAAAGCATTGGTATTGTGTTCGTATTAGATAACAAAATATTCCCTGAAATACTTCTAATGTTGCACATGGAGGGTTCAGAGCAAAATCGTGTTCATGCTATTAAAGTGAGCAAATGAAGTTGCAAATGAAGGCGCACCTATCATTGAAAGTATTTAAGACGTAAAAAGCAGCAATTTCAAAAACATCCTTACTATCTTGTACCAATTCCTTTCGATACGACGTCTTCCTCTCTTTGGTTGTTCTCACATTTAGTGGGGGAAATGAACCGATATTGGAGCAACTCTGTAAAAATGTCAATGCCTCTCTTAGGTCTCTCTCACTGACTTTCCCCCTTGCTTTGCTGACTGTGCACTTTCTGGATCCTTAGGAACTCGCTTCAGATCTCCTTCCGGAGCTCGCTCACAAGTTGGTGTCATATTAAAATAGTTGGTGTTATATTAATTATAGGATATTATTATGATCAGAGGTTCTATCGTAAACATATTAGCTTTTAAGTGGCTCAATTTTGTGTCTAGCATCACCCCTCCAAAACAAATCGATGAAAGAACGAAAGAAACACGACTTTGCTTTTGAGCAGCTTGCAGCTACTAAAAACCCAGACCCGTTAACAGGGCCCAACGTACATGTAAACTCCTCTGTATACGATGGAGGAGTATACGTCGGGCCCTGATGTTTAAGGGTTGACCAAGTACCTCGACAACCTAAACCATCGCGTGCGTAGACAAACCATCTCACAACATGAGGTTTATAAACCCTCAACGAAGCTTTGAGGGTATACAACGATCGATGTCACCGTTGAAAAATTAATATTGCCTCTCAGCTCGAGGTGAGAATTGCAACTCGGCAATTTTTATACGCCCAGCAAAGATTGGGATTTTCAGAGATTTGTTCAAGTGTGCCATAAATAGGAAACAGTCAGCTGAATAAGTGCCAATTTCCGAATGCTATCGTTTTTTAATTTTAGGTTTTTAAATTTCACGGCACCAAAGTTGTTCGCAGAGGTGCTTACACGTAGTAGCATGTAGGTTAAAGGTTATAATATCATTATTTACTCTAACTGAATGAATTCAAAGTTTTTCAGCAAAGAGGTTTGGCAGTGATGCATGAGGAAAGTCGAGGAAACATCGAAGAGTGGCACGTTAGAAACTCAACTTCATTAGGGCCAGGCTAGTTGACTATACCTCCATATATGTAGCCCTACAGTAGTACTTCTAATTCAAAAGTAGTCTTAATTTAGAGACTCTAAGACCCGCCACTGTGTAAAAGAAACATCGAATGTAGATGACATGGCTACAAGAACAAGTGATCTGGCTAGCAATGTCACGGTCACTGCACGTGCGTTGCAGCAGTTGACACAACGTTCACGGCGCGGCAAAGTCTATTTTCCAGACTCAATTATTCACATGCCAGTGATTTTCTGTATGCTGGGCTCGTCGTTAGAATTTTCGGGTCCAGGAACAGACTACCAATGCCCAAGTAAATCGCAGGACCATTCTGGAGTACCACAATATAATTTGCGAACTTGATTGGTTAAGTACGCGCTTAGACAGCGAATGGGTCGTATAGGTTAATGGTCCCACGTTCGGCCTTCTCTTTGTCAGAACCATATCGGGTCATTGGGGTCGATATTTTTGTACCTTATTTCAACGGCCGTGGTAAGTTAACTTAAGGGATTTTTTTATCGAGTACTGTTAATCGAGTACGAGTACTTTGATGCTCGAGTACAATTTTTGGATGCGGAGTTCCAAGTATTTTGTAGCCCGAGTACAAGAACTGTAGTTCGAGTACGAGTACTTGGACGTACAAGTACGAGTGCTCTGAAAATGGTACTCGAGTAGTACTCAAGTATGAATACCGAGTACGAGTACTACAACACTGGCCCTACTCCTAAACTAGAAAAAAGTGGCTTAAATAATATTGGGATAAAGCTCCCAGGCCATGAACTGTATCCGCCACATACAGCTATTTCTCAGTTGCCTTTTTGATTAATTCACCCAGCAGTTTATCATGTTCAATTTGCCCAAATGGCAAATTCCGAATGGCAAATTTTAACCCATATTTTGATGTTGTTTTGTTTTTACCCTCCACCCATGACAGGAAAAAAAAGAAGGAAAGAAATTTTTGAAAGGGGAGGGGAGCTGCATGGGGAAGAAAGCGATGGAACGTGTTATGTCACTGTGTGTGGGGGGGGAGATAACCTTTCCCCTCTCCGTAGGGTCAGGAAGATCGGGCATAAATTGAATGATATATCTGCTTGAGCTGAAAATCTTTCCTTTAAATTTAAAATAAAGTGGAAGTTGCCACTTGGTGCAGCCATAAAAAAATGTACGGTTCTGTGTTAATTTGTGTTGTCTTAGAGAACTAAATTAAAAACTGAAGAGACTGTACAGTGTTGGATGTTATACAGTTTTGCAGTGCACAGTCATAGTGCCCTCTTGTGACATGCTGGGCTCTCAAACATGGCTGCCAACCCAGTTAGTTGCTGATTGTGTGTTCACGACTAATATTTTCAGGCTGAGAATATAACCGATGGTAAACCTGACTGCTGTAGGCTGGACCGGTATTCTGGGTATGGTAGCCTGTCGCCTTAGCCACACAGCCCTCCCCTTCAGAGTTGTTGTGGAATGCACCAGCTGATTATGCAGGGTCATGAAGATTTCAGCAACGTTTCGACAGGAGTTCAGCCTGTACCCGCTCCAAGTCGGCACCGGACCACTGATTGCCCCTATCATCAGATGGTACGAACCATTGCCCCGTTTAGCGCCACACCGTCGTCGCTGTCTCTAACACAAGCAGACATCGCTCATCGGCATCGGACAGCCGATCGCCCCATGTCATTGAAGGACACGTCTCACCACCGCTCATCGCACTACTCATGAACCATTGCCCTGTTTGTGGTCAGCGTCAACCCTGCCTGGTCGATGCTCCTCGGACTCATCGGGTTATCGTGAGGATTGCAGAATTGATTGAACTTGGGCCTCATCAAATGTGGAAAATACCAATGGTGGTTGCTGAATTTTTATCATTAGCCTATAAACTGTCTCTTCTTGGACTGAAATGTTGTGCGTATTGTGGTGCTAAGTGGATTATTGAACGTTGAATTGTTCTAAACCATATCTTGTAATGACATTGTTGCATTGATTCATTACCAAGTTGTTAAGATTTGCTAGCTGGACTGCAACTTCTTCTTGTTGCCCATGTTTTAGAAGTAGTCAAAAGTACAAGTTTATGGTAGTGGTGCATATATTCTGTTATTGCTGAGACGGACATTATTAGTGTTACAAATAGCAACAAACCAGTTTGGTGGTATAGTATCAGTGTTGATTGTTACAACTAAGTTTTGCTATACAGCTCATCGCCTCGAAGATGAGAATACCTGGAGGATGAAGCCGCCATATTGAGCCACATGGAAGCACCAGTACTTAAGCTGTTGAAGTGTAAAACCTATTATGTCACCATGAATGTCAACGGGAAGAAAATCAGCATGGAGCTTGACACGGGAATTCCATGGTCCATTGTGTCATTCGGGACATTCACACTAATCAGGAATCCTGACGAGATTCAGCCTTGCATCACCGGTGATAGAGCTCCAATCGTGGGTGAAGCCACAGTGCAGGTGAAGCACTTGTGGATAGAATGCTTCCCATCAGCATTGGCCAATGTCTTTCAAGCCAAGCTGCCTATAGCAGCTCAACTTTAAATGCTGTTGACATTGACACAGAAGCCCAATTGAAGGACACACTACAAGCCCATGATGATGTTTTGAATACCAAGGTACTTGATAAGCTGACAGGGTACCAGGCAAAGGTACAGCCAGTGGAAGAGCAGCCACTTTTCCACAAAGCCGCCCCAGTCTCATACAGGAAACAGCGAATAGACGCCTGCCTGGACGACTTGCTTGAGAAAGGAGTAATCAAGCCAGTAAAATTTGCTGATTACATGTATGCCTGTCCTATCGTAGTAGCAGATAAAGCTGATGGGAGTGTCCGTATCTGTGGGAACTACAAGCTAACCCCGAACAAGGTTCTATGGTTGGAGTAGTATCCATTACCAGCACTGGAGGATCTAATGCAAGATCTTCAGGATGGACGACGATTTTCAAAGGTGGACATGTCTCATGCCTTCCACCAGATCGAGTTGGAAGAAGCCGCAAGAAAATACACTACTGTGTATACCCATCAAGGTCTCTTTCAGTATGTGAGGATGCCTTTTGGGTTAGCCTCAGCCCCGGCCATCTTCCAAGGAACCATCGAATCGCTACTTGCAGATATCCCCATGTGCTGCCCGTACTTGGATGATATCACTTTCAGTGGTCGGAATGACGCAGAGCACCTTGCCAATCTCAGTGCAGTGTTGCAGCACCTAAAAGAGAATGGTATGAAGTTGAAACGGGAGAAGTGTGACTTCCTGCAGGACTCAATCCCTTACCTTGGTCATGAGCTGAATCAAAGGGGGTCAAGCCCCTTGAAGTCAAAGTCTAAGGCCATTTAGCAAACCTAGTGTCCA